TTCTCATGCCTTAGTTTATGAGTCTTGAGATTGCTAGGATGGTTGAATAATTTGCCACATATGTCACAGGTGTAAGTCTTACCATCATGGAGCTTTGAATGATAGGCCAATGCAGTCTTGGAGGAAAACTGCTTGCCACAGATGCGGCAATTGACCTCCTCTTTGGGACGGTTGAGTGCCTCTTCACTGCCTGGCACCTGGATCTCCACATTGTGGAAGGTCTTGAGGTGGTTTTCCCAGGCCCCAATGCGTGCCATTACCTTGCCACAGAACTGGCACTCAATGGAGTCATGTGTTCTCTGGTGCTCCTTCAGCTTCTCTCCTGTGGGGCACACCTTCATGCAGAACTTGCACAGGTGAATGATGTGTGGCCGCTTGCGGTACTGGCGCTTGGCCCTCAGCTCCTGGCCATCCTCAGGGCCTTTTGGCTCCTTTTTAGCCTCCCTCTGGCTCTCAGACTGTGGCAAGGACTTGGATTTGCGTGACAGCTCAGCCATGCTCAGGCGCATCTTCCAAGAGAGCACGGGGACTCGCTTGCCAGGCTCCCGGGGGCGAGTCACCTGTAATGCCTGCAACACAATACAATACTTTCAGTCCAATGTATTCATGCCAATTGGCAGAACTGCTTTGCTGCAGGATCAATGAAACACAACTCACTAAAGCTTTTATTGCTGATCTTGATCTACTCTTTTGCTTACAAAATGGGTCCTACTCCTGTCACATCTCCAGATGTTTAAGTTGAATATTAAGTAGATATTATGGCAAACTTCTGATTCAGATATCACTTCAGCAATGAAGTAGAAGACGAGAAAAAAAGAAAAACTTACATTTACAAAAATATTTTATTCATCTACCATTCAACACACACACACACACACACACACACACACACATATATGCATATGTGTATGGATATTTACATGTGTGATGTATAAATGTGTGTGTGTGTGTGTGTGTGTGTGTGTGTGTGTGTGTGTGTGTGTGTGTGTGTGTGTGTGTGTGTGAGTGTGTGAGTGTGTGAGTGAGTGAGTGAGTGAGTGAGTGAGTGTGTGAGTGAGTGAGTGAGTGAGTGTGTGAGTGAGTGTGTGAGTGTGTGAGTGAGTGTGTGAGTGAGTGAGTGAGTGAGTGAGTGCGTGCGTGCGTGCGTGTGCGTGCGTGTTATGTAACATTCATAACACTTCATTCTTTAACTCCTTTACTGCCAAGTGCCACTTTACTGCCACGCCGTTTCACTGCCAGGCACTAATAAAATGGCTTTCATATAAATTTTCATAAGATTTAAGTTTTTTCATGAGAAATGTTTATTATAAAATATTATATATCAGATTATAAACAGAAAAACGTAAGATATATATATAACATTTCCTGATAACCATCTTTATTTTTGTTCATATTTGTGGGGTTCGGACGTCGTCAGGTTTTACCAGATGGAAAACAATGCTGAACGACTAAATCTATGCATAACTACCGTCTAAATATAATTATAAAGTAATAATTATATATTCACACACACACACACACACACACACACACACACACACACACACACACACACACACGCACACACGCACGGTGTGTATATATATTTACCTTGTATGTACAAGTATGTAGGCATGGATGTACATTATTACCTACGGAACAAACAGGCGCGCGTGCACACGCACACGCACACGCACACGCACACGCACGCACACACTCACACATGTATGTATATGTACGTATACATGCGTGCATGCGTCTGTAAACACATTTATATGCAAATATTTCTTCCATTCCCTTACTTTCTCTCTCTAAATATTTTCTGGACATTTTCTGCCTCTCCAGCTTCTAAAATCGTTAGCGGCGTAATAATCCAGCAAAAATGATATACTTGTGATGGTGCCCCCCCCCTCCCTCCAACAACAACAACGAAAAGGGGCTCCCCCCCCCCCGTCTCTCTCTCTCTCTCTCTCTCTCTCTCTCTCTCTCTCTCTCTCTCTCTCTCTCTCTCTCTCTCTCTCTCTCTCTCTCTCTCTCTCTCTCTCTCTCTCTCTCCCTCCCCATTAAACTAATGACTTCTGTAATAAATGTGCTAGACATCAAAGGTCATATAGAATTACAATAAAGTATTGAGTTAACGATTAGGATAAGTGGACAGAAGAAAGAGGTAAAGAAGAGAAGGAAAATGGAAGGAGAGAACAGACCATGCAAAACTAGTTGAGGCGAGGGCTGAGGTCCAAGGCAGGGACAATCCCCTTAGGCCTCAATCCCACTCCCAGTTTCCTAAGTTCCCCACGACAACAACGAGCAAGGGATGGGGGAGGGTATGACTCTTGTATGATTAAGTAAAAATTAAAAATTATGGTTATTTTCAAATTGTATAATGTGAATTTCAGTAGGATGTAATGCATCTGATGAACTGTTTCTAACCATATACGCAATTCAACAGTTAACCTAATTTGTGTGTAAGAAAACTATGGTTTTACCGAGCATTTATATTTTCATTTTTTCCGAGGACTACATATTCGGTCATATTTTAACTTTTATTGAAAAAAAATCTTAAAATAACAAAGAAAAAATATACACTACAATTCTGTGTTGCTACAGCTCTTGATGTATTTACTTTTCAACCTTAATTTGGCATTAATAAGCATGTTTGTTCTGACGAATCCAGTTCAACGCGTTTGAAAAAATAATGACGTTTGCGAAGACGCCGAAAATATTTCTTACTTCAAAGCGGACTTTCCTATAATTATTTCTGCATTTTCACCATTAGTGTAATGTTTATTTTATTCTACATACATAAATTCAAATGAACATTAAGAGGATTTAGTATGTCTGCCTTAGGAAGTAGGCGGTGTATTGGACTCAAAAAAATACGTCACGGCGCATGTTAACAATGAGCGAATTCATGGAATCTGTCACGGCGTATGTTAACAATGAGCGAAATTATGGAATCTGTACATGAATGAAGAAACTACCAAACGACTGTTAGAGCCCAACTCGGGTTATTTCTTGGGAACAGCAAGGCCATAAGCGCCAGCATACACAGGTCATTAGCGCCTGTATGGAATTTTGCTTGTTCCAATTTTGCATACGGCATTTAATGATACTGCGCATATATATACGTTCGTAAATGTCCAAAGAAAGCTTTTATACCATCAAAAAATTAAAAGCACAATGACATAATCAAACATTTTGTGAGATATTTCTTTAATATCGGAAATACGAGCGAAATATCGATTATCTTTCACAGAAGATGATAGTATACAATGATACCCTCTCTAAAAGAAAACAAACAAAAAATATGGAATTTAGAAACCTGGTCTAATGCATTCGCTTCGTAGAGTTTGAACAGCTATTGTACTTTTTTCGTGTTTCCGGTAAAAAAAAATACATACATACAAACATACATACACACACATACATACATACACATACATACATACATACATACATATACATACATACAACCTGTGTTCGCTACCAGACCTTGCGCTACCGATTCTCGTTCACTTATTTCTAGTTAATGCGCTCAAATGAACACCATTATTCTCGTTTACTATGTCCGGTGGATATAAATATATTTAAATAAATTCTGTCTGGTTTAACTAATAATATTTCCTTTACATAAAAATGCTTTTAGTTGAATTAAACGAGGATGTTTAAATTGGTTAACCTTATTTGAGTGTGTTTACAATGCACATAAATTTCTTCCAAATTATAGCCAACCTGTACCCCCCCCCCCCCCCTTATTCACTCACTCCCCGAGTTTTACCTTGGGCCAGTCTATGATCATAAAAATAAGGGATTTACGGTCAGTGCTGCCGACCACGGGTTGAATTTTATCCTTGAACTACTTAACAAATATTCATCAGTTAAATCAACTCTGCGAAAGCCAGCCCGAGGCCCGATTTGGGTTTTCAATACTTTTTTTTACTTATTATTATTAGGTAGCTATATTTGGTCCATTTTTCAGTTTTAGATAATTCATATTTTATTTTACTCTTTATTATTTTTTTGAAATTCAAACTTGACTGCACATTCGGAATCGCTCGCGAAAGCAACCATATGTTTTTGAGGCAAAGGAAAATGGCACCCGCTGGACAGTACTGTAACTGAACTGTAATTTCATATTTAAAATGTTTTACATATGATATCAAAGTTGCGATAACATCTTTTAACTCAAAAAGAGGTGCAACTATTGACCAATTTGCCAATATGATAACTGATAAAGGCTGAATAACAGAAACATATAAAAATAATTAGTTTATTATTACTATAACTTTGTACCAATTTTAAGAATGTCAAATGTCTCTGTATTCTTCTAAGTTCCAATGAACAATATAGGTCATTGCAGACTATTTACTATTTCCTTACATGGAAACACTTTTAACAAATATGGCAATGTATTATATAAAATCATAGATATAAAAATAAAACACATTTCTAGGCAAGCCAACTACAAAACAAGTTCAGTGGTTTCAGTCGCACCATTTTCTGAGAGAACGACAAAGCACGTTTCCCATTCATCTGTGTTGATGCCTATTGAACCTGGCTCGAGGTTCCCAGCTTCTGCATAAATCTGGACATCCTCAGCTATGTTTTCTGGCTGGACTAGAATATGCGAGGAGTTTTGGCTACATGTGTGTGCCTCCAGGTCTTCTTTGCACTGGAAGGAAAAGTTGCATCGGTCACACATGTACCGCTTTATTACTCTGACACGATCTCCACAGATGTGATCCCTCTTTATCTCCTCACTCTCAAATAAAGCACTGCACTCATTGCAACGAAAGTACTTCTTGATCTTCGTCTTTCCTGCCAGGCCTGGCTCAGGATCAGTTGGGTTGGCATGCTGCTTCATGTGTGCTTCAATGTGTGCTTTGCGGTGGAACATCTTGAAGCATACAGTGCACTCAAACCTCTTCGACTTGTGCTTCTCCATATGGTTGATGTATATACTAGATCTGTTGAACTCTGTGCCACATATCTCACACTTCCAGCACCTGGCATTCTGGTGGACAGCATTGTAATGATACCCAAGCTCAGAGGTTGTGAAGAACCTTGCAGGACACTTGTCACATGCCACGTTCTTGTCCCCATGTCTCTTCATGTGTGCTTTCAGATTCTTGACATGGCCAAAGGTTTTATCACACTTATTGCACTTCAACTTCTCATTACTATGAGCAGTCGTAATGTGATACGCAACTGCTGGCTTTGACTTGTATTTTTTTCCACATATCCAACAGAAGTGCTGAGAATCAGGTCTCAATTTCAGTCCATGAAATTTAGCATAATGCTGAGTTAGCATCCCTCTCTTGGCTATCACTTTCCCACACATGACGCACTCGTAACTTCCATGTGTTTTTGTGTGGTCACGATACTCTTGTGCATATTCAAACTCCAGCCCACACAGGTCGCAGACATGGGTTTTGTTTTTGTATGTCATCTTTGTAGTTTTAACTAACAATTTCTCAATCCTTGTTGATTTCCTTCGTGTTCTGACTTTTCCTCCCTCTCTCTCCATGGCGCTCAGGGACTCTCCCTCATCCACTGTTATCTGCAAAGCATGAGAGCCTTATCAGAGAGAGAGAGGAAAAACAAAACAAACATCTTCAGAGAATGAAAACAGAGCATCATGAAAATCTTTAACCTATAGCTGTTGGTGTCTCGAGATAAACAATACTATATCCTCTTCAGAAGTATCAAAATGAATTACCAATTTCTGCCAAAAATTGTAAAAAGACATAAGTGCTGTAGCAAAAGATCTTCAACAAAAATTTTAGGACGAAAATGAAAAATATCACAAAAACAAGTTCAGAATCTTCATCAAAAAATCAAACAGCATGATAGGAAAAAAGAAGAGAGTCAGAAACTTCATTTACATATGTATGGAAAACTAAGCACCAAATCTGTGAGTAGTGGAAAAGGCTATTCCCCTAGACAGGGAAGCATGTGCTATCATTCTAGGATAAGAGCTGATATGTATAAGTTAAGGAAAATGCATATTCAAAATTTACTAATTAATGGGACAAAACTGTGCACTGAAATATATGAGAAGCAACTCCGAGGACTATGCAGTTATCTAAAAGAAAATTAGATGACTAGTTAAAGTTGATATCACACAAACCACCAAAAAGTGGTAGTGAAGGAAGGAAGGAAGACTGAATCAAATTCTGTCCATAATCAAATTCAATTCCTAGCAACTAAAAAAAGATAGGTAGTCCTTCAGGATGTGAATATGCCTTCTGCATGTGTCACTAGTGGGACTCTGAGAGAACTTCCATCAAGTAACCAAATAACAAGATTATCAAAAGAAAGTTCATGCAATTCACAGATAATGAAAAGATTTATTGTTTACGAATGTTCCTAGTATGTATGTATGTATATATCTTTTGATATTCCTGTCCATCTCATAACTGAAAAAGGTGCCAAAACAAAAAAAACTTCTGTTTTCAATCAAAACAAAAATATTCCTACCTAACAGGAAATGACCATACATAACAATGCTTTAAACTGCATTCTTACTCCCAGTGTTTAAAATGGACTTCCAAACTACTTTTAAATTATGAGACAAAACAGATATGTGAGAAAAAATTAAAATGACCCTAAAAAACTACTGTGAATTTTCTGTATCATTTAAAATGTACAAAAATCCCACTACAAAGATGAAAATACACTAGAGCACTGATATTTCATTTCTTTCTCCCCAGTACTAGATCTAGAATTTTTTGATGGACTTTTTGCAGAGAGCTGATTCCCATGGATACATAGCCTTATAGTTCTATTATGTACACAAATACATATGGAAACACTTATGTAGCACATTATGGTACCAGGTAATTTTCCTGTCCCCTGTCATTTCTATTCACCAAAGAGTAAAGAATAATAATGTAAAAGGAAGACAAAGACTTTACGTGTTGAAAATTCTGAAAGGAGATAAGAATATGCACTCACCAGTGCCATACACTCTAATATTGAGATTGGGATAGAGAAAGGGAAGACAATGATTGGGGAACAAATAATCAATAATAACTTTCAATTAAAATATTATACTTTGCACCAGATAATAATGACCTGATGAATTCATAACTTCCTGAAAAAGTGCCCACTAAATCTATTGCTATCATATACACCAAGTACCAATATTTGAATATAAATATACATTATCAGTTCTCTCAGTTAACCTAATGCTGCTGGGAAAATGTGATGTTTACTGAGTACTGCTTTGTGAAATGTGTCTACACAAGTGGCTCTAGACATGCTCAGCCAGCAAGTCTATGTGCCCTCACCTGATTTCCCCCATCCTTGAGTTTTTGTGAATATTTTTTTTCTAGTGTTATTATCACTATTACTGACATCATAGTTCTTACAGTACTACTAATAATACTAATAGCTATATATAATTAAATTAAATATTTCCATAAATCACAGAAATAGGTAAACAGGTAAGATAGGTTGGCCTAGTGACCGACTCATTGGTCACTAAGAACCTATAGAGCCATCTGTGTGTAAATACAATTAATAAACTAAACTCACATAGCATGTGTGTACATGCAATTCCCTGGCAGAATCACTTTATATGAACTTGCCATTAGAATGAGCTCTAGCTATTGTGTGCAGGTTCAAATGTCCAAAAATTGTATGACTATTATATCATTTACACAGGAAGAAATCAACTCTGGCATCATGTTAGTACCATAAACCTGATCCTGTAGTGTATATATTGGGGTTCATGCTTGATCCTGTAGTGTATATATTGGGGTTCATGCTTGATCCTGTAGTGTATATATTGGGGTTCATGCTTGATCCTGTAGTGTATATATTGGGGTTCATGCTTGATCCTGTAGTGTATATATTGGGGTTCATGCTTGATCCTGTAGTGTATATATTGGGGTTCATGCTTGATCCTGTAGTGTATATATTGGGGTTCATGCTTGATCCTGTAGTGTATATATTGGGGTTCATGCTTGATCCTGTAGTGTATATATTGGGGTTCATGCTTGATCCTGTAGTGTATATATTGGGGTTCATGCTTGATCCTGTAGTGTATATATTGGGGTTCATGCTTGATCCTGTAGTGTATATATTGGGGTTCATGCTTGATCCTGTAGTGTATATATTGGGGTTCATGCTTGATCCTGTAGTGTATATATTGGGGTTCATGCTTGATCCTGTAGTGTATATATTGGGGTTCATGCTTGATCCTGATCCTGTAGTGTATATATTGGGGTTCATGCTTGATCCTGTAGTGTATATATTATAGAACCTTTTTGCTGGTAAGCTGACTATGTATTACCTGAACTACAGAAACTTTCTAAGCATTCTATGGTGCTATGGCATACTTTCTAGTTTGAACGATGGTACATGGATATGGACAGTGTTAAGAATAATTAAGTGATATACATGTGTTGCCCCTTAGCTTATTCATTTTTGAGATACTGAAGGATATGTTGTACAACTAATGCAGTATAGCATCTATCCAAGGGCCCTGAATGTCAGCTCTGGTTGATTACCAAAGCTGTCAATCAACATGGTACTTTCTGATCCCATAGCCTATGATCTACCAACTAAGTGATCAATGTTTTGCACATACGAACTCTCTATTTTATGAGGGAGTTCATAATGTAAGACTAGCTAATCACCATTCATTTCTGTGCATTGTACGATGGAGGTAGCAAGACCGCTCTGCAAGGTGAACTTTTGTGACCTAGATGAGAGAGAACTCTAAACAGGATGTATATCAACGTATGTTTGTATGTATATGCTTATATATCCGTGCGTCCATATTCATGAATAAGGGGGTGACTGAGTGAGTGCTCATGGATGTAAGTGTGCACCTATGTCTATCTTACTCTTGCATGTATGTATAAATGGTGATTGACGTGATATTCATTCCATTCTTAGATATGTAAATGAATGACAAAATTTTATATTATCATAATGAAATCTAAAATAATTGTATATATATATATCAATTTAGAAACATATATTGGAATAAAAAATATTGGAAATAGCCATTATAGCAATCCTTGGTCCAGGTCACTTGAACTGATTAGTGATGTGATGGATAGGTCAAGATAAGGGGGAAGGCTTGGGATTCATATTCATTATGTCATCTTTGTAAGGTAAATAGAGTATATTTTGAAAATATTCCTATTATAGTGTTTTCTGGCAACTGGCTACTCAAATCAGCCAGCATCCATTGTTTATATTTTTTAAATTCCAATACAGAAAAAAATCAGCTTCCTGAGGCTGGGCAGGGAAATAGTTAAATGGTCTTCATATATACAATTTTCTAAAGTCTTTGAATGAAATATCATGAAACAGTTGAAATAAACATTATTGCACTCTAGCTCTACTTTTTCCTGGGTGAATAATCACTCAATACCAAAATATAGTGGGAGACATTGTAAGATATTTTTGGTCATTCCTTACCCTTTATTCAAAGTAAGTTATCACAATGTATATCACAATCAAAAGTACAGTGCATTAAAACAATACAAAAATATATAAAAAAATATATAGGGAGCTAAACCCATAATTAATTTAATTATGACTTCATGTCAACAGCACCTTACTCTGTTAAAACTTCAGCATTTGTGGCTTGGTATGCAGATATGAAATCCTCACTAAGAACACAGCAGTCCTCAATGCCCTCTTTAATATACTGGCTCACTGTGGGCTCTGGATCTAGCCTGCTGGTACCTGCTCCCACCTCTGTGGTACAGGTAATTTCTGTGTGACCAAGCTCCACATCAGGCAGAGTGCTTATGCCTGACGTGGCATGGATTCCTGGCGAGCTATCAACTTGCTCTTTGAAGTTGTCTGGACTTATGTCAGTGGCTCCTTCTGCTCCCAAAACAAAGGAAGCAATACTAGGATGGTCTTGGTTGATGTCTGTGACTAGCATTACACTTCTTTGACTCTGATTGTATGGGTCTATCGTAAAGGTTGCACTACTACCAAACAGTTCTACGGCAGAGTAGTGACCTGTGTGGGTGTCTGATGTATCAGTACCACCGGCAAGCAGCGGCATGTGTGCAGACTTTGTCTCTATGGATGATGAGAATTTCCTGTCTGTTTTGGAGGTCAGAATAGTAAAATCAGAAATCTTTTCTATACTGTTTACTTTGCTCAAGTTAACAGTCTGGTCTTCAGTATGTACATCTTCTGAGGTTTGTGTGGAACTTGTTACAGTCATCAGTGAGGGTAAGGCAGTATTATTTCGACCACCTTCTTCCTGGCTATCAGCTGCCATTTTCCTCTCCTGTTCCAAGTGGTAATTGAATGCATGCCTGTGCTTGAATGTCCGCCCACAGATGGGGCAGGTAAGAGGGCGGTGGTCCGTGTGTACCATTCTATGATGTTTCAGCACAGACCGCTGGCAGAATGAGCGGCCACAGTCCACACAGACATAAGGACGGCACTTACGATGGACCTGGTTGATGTGCTTGTTAAGCTCACTGCGGAGGTAGAATGATGCACTGCACTCGGTGCACTTAAGGTTTCTTTCTCTGTGCCTGACCACATGACTTGCCAGGTTTTTGGGGTGGTTGAACTTCCGCCCACACTCCTTGCAGCTGTATACCCTCCCTGAATGTGTCCCTAATTTGTGGCTGTGCAGCCCCCCTGCTGAGGCATAGACCTTCCCACACTCATCACACGGAAATCTTGTTTTTGCCTTTTTCTCATCACAAGAGCTAAGAGAAATATTGTGAACAATTTTAAGATGATGCTTCAGTGCACTAGGCCGAGCTAGAGCTAGTCCACACTCCGAACAGCTGTGCTGGGCATGTGTCAGGGTGTGGGTGGCCATCTCGAGGGGAGATGGACAGGAAAAATCACACCATTTACACTGATGGTCGACCCTAAGCCTTGATCCAACGTTCAAACTCCCTATTT